ATTGATTAATTGGCCAATCCTCGATTCTCTTCCACCGCCTCTCCTTAAGAGAAATCTGGAAATGGAACGTGCGCCGAGTTCTCAACGCACGCTAAGCTTGCTGGCGTAGGATTAATGTCAGATGGAGATTCCTATATTCGTTTTGATTGGAACGCGAGTGGGTCGATCTATCGAGAGAATCGTTCTAAGGGTAAACTCACTTTCTCTCTCTCTCTCTCTCTCTCTCTCTTTCTTTCTTTCTTTCTTTCTTTCTCGTTATCTCTGACGGATACGCGGATGGAGATTATCTTCAAGTTATATATATGTGTGTGTCTCGATTTTTTATTAGCTTTGGAACGACCGTGAAATTCTATATCGGACAGGTAATCAGTCGAGAGTGTCGTCGTCATCGTCGTTGTTCTCGTTACGATTACCTTTTTCTTTATCCGGTCGGGTAACGCAACAACACCTTGAGATCGATGGAACAGGGGGAGGAAGGGGGATATTCTTCACGGGGATTCAACCTCATCACGTAGATAAACACGTTCGTATCTGCGATTAGAATCGTATCTACGACAATCGTTCGTAGGATCCCTATGGATCGTTCGACGGAACGACTTTTGACGGGCGCAACCCTCCTTTTTCTCACCAACGGACCCACACGCTCATCCCGGAGGATGATCCACCCTATAAATAACCGCGCGACTTCGTGAACCGTGGCGATTTCCGCAATGAAAATAAATTCGAGCGGGCGCGCTCCGCGCCGCTTCAGCCCGTGCCGCCTGCCTGTCCGTTCGCGTCTAGGCGTAATAATTTTTCTGGCGACAGCCGACCGTTCGGCCCGACGATAAAACAAACCATCGACCGTCCGTTCGAGTCGAATTATAAACTCGTCCTGCCATTTTCCCAACTGTCCCGTTCACGCTCCGCTCTCTCTCCCCTCGTCTCTCGAGGAGGGATCTTCGTTTCCCCTTCCTTCTCTCTCTCTCTCTCTCTCTTCCATTTCGATTTCCTTCGATTCAAGGTCCAAGTCCTTTTTCTTTTTTCTTCTTTTGCGAGGGGTAGAGAGGAGGAGGAGAAAGAATGGACCGAAGTGAGGGAGGGAACACGTTCGACCATCGACGCCGCTTTCGGTCGTTCGTTCGATTAACTTTTTTTGCCCGGTGAAAGTAGCTTGGTGCGTGATTTTCCAGAAATCGCTCGACCGTTTCCCCCGCGTCTTTCCTCTCGCGGCCCCGGGACGAAACGTCCGGTCGAACGCAACGAGCGAAAAATAGAGGCGTTTCGATCCGAGAAGAGGACACGATACGAGTAACAAGTGGCCGTTGCTCGAGAAACTCGAGAGAAAGAGAAACTCGGACATGAGAAGATGAAGATCCAAGGTGGAGAGGCATCGAACGACCAATCCTGAACGACAAACTTCAGAGGCGTCACACGACGCCTACGTTGCTCTCGAGCTCGGGGTCGAGGATGAGTCCGAAGGGGCCGAGCCAGGAGGGGTCCAAGATGGAGGTGAGGGTGTCCTGCGTCCCCTCGCCGGGCGCGGAGCCCCAAGGGATCAGGGTGAGAATCCCCGAGCCCAAGAAACGGCCCATCAGCCCTCCGCCATCTCGTCGGGAGCCGACGATGCGGGCCAGGTGCCCCTCGGTCCCCGAGAAGGATTTGTACAGGAAGAGCGCGTCGTTGGATCGCCGCGACAGGTATCCGACCCTGTCCGGCGCCGAGATCAAGAGGGGATTGATCCCTGGCGGGGTGGACGCGCCGCCGCGCAACAGGAGGAACCCTATGCTGGATCGGAGGAATCGTTTCCCGACGATATCCGGCGCGGAGCTGAAGCGGGGCCTCGCGATCGGCAAGTGTCCACTGGAGGACGGGCTCGATCTCAGCCTGGCACCCTGGCCGGGCATGAAGTGGGCCTGCGTCAGGGTGTTGCACCTGTACTGTAAGGTGTTCGACCAGTTCGAGCTGTTCGAGCTGATAGTTAGGTAATTGACCGAGCAAACTTGGTTTCTGGAAACGGGTTTGCCGCGAATGGATTTCATACACGTAGGTATATCCAAACCTGTTCCCAGTCCGGGTCCCCTCGATTTATCCAGAAAGAGTAGAACCGAGGTTTCAGATTTCCCTTCTAAATTCTCAACCTTTGGCCGAACTCTCTCTCTCTCTCTCTCTCTCTCTCGAAGGGAGAGACGTCACTTCGATTCCCTCGGCCACGTCGCGTCTAACGATGTTAATATTTGCTCCTTCCAGAGACACGTGCCATCACGGTTGATAGATCGTTTACGAGCGTAACACGTTCTTTCACGGACTGTCTAACAATTCCAAGGCAACGTGTTTACTCGATAAAAATTCGCGTCTGATTAAAATTCCACGGATCCATTGGCGGCGGGGGCGCAGCGTAAATATAATTAACCGGCATTAGCAGGCAGACAAAGTTTCTGCCGATGGTCGCCCGTTTTGCGCTCAGTATTGCTGACCGGATCATGGATCGTGGTCTTTCCATTTTTTTTTTTTTCGAAAGACGAAAGTTTTTCGGTGTACGAAAAGAAAAACTCGTGAACGAAAGAAAGAAAGAATTGCAAAAGAATTGCGCTATTCCTTCGAATATCGAGAGATCCGTGCGAGTCGAATTAGCGTCGTTTAACGCGCACCGCCCCTCGTCGTGTATCCCCTCGTCCTCCCCCGACCGTGGCAATAATAAATCCGACACGACCACGATCCGAGGGCAATTTTCTTTTCTCGCGACGAGCGCGCATTAATATAAGTCGACCTCGACTCTCTCTCTCTCTCTCTCTCTTTTTCTTCTTCAAATTCCGCTCGAACAGGGCCGCTTACAAGCGTTACGCGTGTATACCACCCATCGTGGAATGTCGGGACAAATCGCTCGGTTTATATATCGTCCAGGGGATTAATCGCGCGTTATAACGTCTTGGTTGGTGGAAAGGACGCAAATAGTCGCGCACACGCGTCACGAGACCGAGCGAATTTATCCGGTTTAATTTTTTTTTTTTTTTAACGCTGGCCGATTTTTCGCCCGACAAACCGAAATTTCCGAGAGACGAGCACATGTTCGGATCCGGTCTTTGATGTCTGGTCGCTTTATTAAACGGGGAGCCGTTCGTCGACGATTCGACAACGAGATTTAATTGGAGGGAGGCCCGGCAATTGGTCGGAATCGGAGGAGGGAGGAGGTTATTTTCCATCGTTCCACGCGGATGACCAAAGGCATCGATCTACGAGACGTTTCGAGTATCGACGATACTGTGGATGAAAGTCTTTTAAGATCCCCATAATATCGCGGTCGCGATCGGTGTCAGCGGGGACGTTCACGTGGGCAAACGGAAAACGAGCGTGTCGCGCCGCCGAGTGGAAACGGGTCTGGGACCGTGAACTCGAATGAATTATGGCCCACATGCGAGTATTACGTTTCACGTTGGCCAAGTTAACGAGGCGTCAACGTTAATTTGCAAATCCTCCCGCCGCCGGATCCACGGGTATCCTCGTCCAATATCGAACGATCCTTATCGTTCTCCTTCTCGCGAGCAATTCTTTTTATCGTTGAAAACACTCTTTTGCCAACGGCGAGTTAATAATCCGCCGACGAGAAAAACGAGGCAACGAAATTATACGAAAAATACTTCTGCTCCGCTTTCGGCTAATTCTTCTTCGGAAAGGTATTGCTTCGAAGAGTAAAAAAGTCGAGGTAAAAATTTGTGGAGAAAAAGAGAGATTACTTTTTAAGAAAGATCGATATCGCGTTGTGTTTCGTCCATTCGCGAGCTTTGGAGAAGGAATCGCGAAACGGATTCGAGGATATAATATTTTTCGAGGTTCTGGTTCTGCTCGACGATCGACGAAAATAAGGTGTCAAATTGCGTCCGCGTCCCGAATGTCTCGAAATCGCGCTTCTATGAAGCTCGATTTTATGGCGGCCCATTAATGCGTCCGCCGCCACTGTTAAATTTAACGAGCTCTCCTCCTCCTCCTCCTCCCTCTCCTCGTTGGTCCTCGCCTATGTTCCAATTCGCCTCTCTGGTCTTCGTAAATCGGATTTAATAAATTTACGAGCCAATCGTGTCTCTCCTTTCGTCTCTCCTTTCTTTTTTTTTTTTTTTTTTTTTTTTTTTACCTCCCTCTTCCTCTTCACGTCCGTCCAAACATCGTGCTAGATAAGAGTTTCGTTATCGTAGTCCAATCGAGGTCGAATAAAGAGAGGAAGAATAGGTAGGCCAGTATTAGCACCGCGACGACCTTGCGGTTGACATATCCGGAAGGGTGCGGTAGAAAGGCGATGAATACCACGAACCGGGGCAAATGCATCCCCTTGATTATATACGATCGACGTTCGATCCGACCATTAGCAGTGTGTTACGCGTGGGCGGAATTGGAATCGAGACTTTCCCCCTCTCCATTTTCGAGACTCGAATCGAAACGTGGATGGATAGATTCGAGACGAACTTTTCTCTAATCTTGTCTTTTTTTCAGTCCCCTCCTTCCTCGTAATGGGATTAAAATTGTTTTGCTTTTTACGCGGTTTAAAAAATCGTGTCACGACGTTGAAAGGCGATTACGGAGTACTAAACTAGTCGACGACTTACTCGGAGAAATAAGAAACGAGGACATCATTTGAAAAGGAAGGGGGGGAAAAAAAAAGAGAAAGAAGGGCACAGATGTTTGCATTAATTAGACGATCGGGCAGGAAACGCTTTACGTTCGAACGCAATAAAACTGGATTAAACGTTCTATCGGGATATCGAGGCGTATCCGGAGTTAATGAAAGAGCCGAGACAAATATTTAAGCGTGGCATCCTATATACGTTCATATATATATATATATCGATACCCGTTTCGTATATACTGCCAAATACAAATACAATACTGAAAGCAGTTTCCTAAACGAGAGAGGAACATTAATCTCGTTGCTCGATACCACGAAAAAATTCCACGAGTATATCATGAATGATGCATGACTTTTCAAAGCTAACCTCACTTCTCTCAGGAGATTCTTTCTTCCTTTTCAGAAAGAACTGCACCAGTTGCAAGTGTCCCCGTGAGGCGCACGATGTGTGCCACGAGGAATGGGTGTCGGTCAGGTCTCGTTTGGGCTTGAAAGGCGAGGAATCTTCGTATCCAGCTACTTTCGATCCCAGAGGGAAGGGCCTCGCCTGGGCTCCTCCTGGTCTACCAGCTCACAAGGTGGGTGATTCGTTCGATGTCATTTTAACCAACCGTTGTATCAACAAACTATCATCGCGTCACTGTGAAATTCGACGATTGCCGAGAAGCTATTCCATCGATTACGTCAAAAAAACACGATTCAATATTTCGAATTGAAATATTTCTAATAACGAGACATTATTATACGATACTCGTGAACGTGTATGGCGTTATGCACTCGCGTTTGTATATTCCGATTTGTATGCGTGTACACACGTTTGGCGAACTTCCAGTTTATTTTCCAAAGTACAAGGCATAAATTAACGAGAACTGGTCTTTATCGACGGATGCTTTATCGTGCACGCTTCCCGTGACCGTTACCCACTCGCATTTATCATATATTTTTCTTGCTCGACGCGCGCATTTAATAAACGATATATTCCCAATATTTTGGCTAGATGGCGTTATATATAGACCTTGTTTTCTTCGTCGCTGCAGGTGGAGGAATACTTTTCCATGCTACCGGAAAAATCCGTACCTAGGTTAGGTACGCCCGGAGAACGATACAGGGACCGACAATTGGCATTTCAGCTGCCTAAGCAGGACTTAGCCAGAGCTTATTGTCGCCACTTGAATCCGAAACATGCCAGCAGTGCTGACGATTTTATGGCGGCAAGGAACGAGATCGCGTTGGATATCGGAAGCGTACAGGAAGTGCTTGAAAGAGATGTTGTAAGTTTTATTAATAAATATCTATGCTTGGAATTGTTTGTACTTTATATTTTAAATGAACAAATTGCACAGCGCGATTTGATGTGTTTGTAGGATTGCGGTGCGTGCCATACGCCATTAAAATATGGCACCCTTGCCGTATCTGCGAGTAAATTGGGTCTTTTATACCATCCTGCATGTTTTCGTTGCACGGAGTGCAAGGAACTTCTCGTCGATCTTGCTTATTGCGTACACGACGACACACTATTTTGTGAAAGACATTATGCCGAACAGTTGAAACCAAGGTGCGCGGCTTGCGACGAGGTGAGTATGTTTCTTTTTCTCTCATTTTTGAATATAATTAATGGCAACGTTTAAATCGAGAAAAGGAGGAAAAAAGATAAAGTATCGCAAGTATGAACAAAGAAAGTAGATAGTGGGAGAAAGATGGAGATAGGATAAAAATATTGAAATCAGCGCCATCTTCAGAGTGCCGCAAATGAAACTCAATATAGAAGGACAGAAAATAAAAAGAAAAGGATAGAGATAATTTAAGAATTGGTTACTAGCGCCATCTCTTGAGTATCCAAGATATTTCTTTGAAAGCAGGATAAGTTAGAGTAAGAATTGATTATCAGCGCCATCTCTTAAAATCCTTAAGAAACATGTCTTTAAAATATAAAAGATGGCGCTTATCTTCAATTCTTATTCTATCTTATATTTATAAAGAAATAACTTCGAGATGACGATCAATTCTTATCGTATCTATTTTCTTCTCGTTATTTTAAATCAATTTATAACAAAAATTGAAATCTACAGATAGCACAGGTTTTTTAATTTTTATCTTATCTTAATTCTTATACTACTTGCTTTCTTTGTCTATACTTGTACTCGATGTTACCATAATTCAATTACACAGGTACAGGATGGAATGCTTTCTGTATCACGTGTATTTATATTATTATTTTGTGTAGAAAACGATAATAGTTTCAATAACAATTAAAATTAAGATTTAATTCTACGTTAAAACTCTCTAATATATATATATAAATTACTTAATTTGTAAAATTCATATATTTTTATATATATGAAAAATTGTTAGTTTAGATCGTGTATTGTAGACAAGGAGAGCGAATAGTGGAAAAAGGACAGAGATAGGATAAAAATATTGAAATTAGCGCCATCTCTAGAGTGCCGCAAAAGAAACTCAATATAGAAGGATAGAAAATAAAAAGAAAAGGATAGAGATAATTTAAGAATTGATTACTGGCGCCATCTCTCGAATATCGAAGATATTTCTTTGAAGGTAGGGTAAGTTAGAGTAAGAATTGATTATCAATGCCATCTCTGGGATATTCTTAAAACTTATTTTATTATATTTTTATATATATTTCGTTTGGCATTCAACAGATGGCACTGATATCCAATTCTTATTCTATCTTACCTTATCTGTAAAGTAGTGCCTCTAAAAATTAAGAGATGGCGCTAAAGATCAATTCTTACTATTTCTATCCTTCTCTTTCTATTTTCTGTCCTTCTATATTGAGTTTCATTTGCGGCACTCTGAAGATGGCGCTGATTTCAATATTTTTATCCTATCTCTGTCCTTTTCCCACTATGTTCCCTCCTTGTCTTACTCTTGGCGCGTAAATATACGAGATATCAATTAAACACGTTTCTCTTTCATCGTTTCTCTTTCAAAAATTTAATAATAGTACCAATCTTTTATATATGAAAAAATTTAAATATCATTGATTTCTACAATATATATCTTTAATATAACGATCCCATAAAATATAATAAATGACGCGAGTTTTTGACACGAATTATCTATTCCGGACTTAAGTAACAATTATTTGTAGTTTTAATATTGACATTTAGTTTCGATCCCGCTCACGTTATTAACATTGCAAATTTATTCCGAAACGAATCAATAACGACGAGAATGATGCTAAAATGATAATTCCGTGATGTGTCCCCGAAGAATGGGACAAAAAAAAAAAAAAAGAAGAAGAAGAAGAAGAAGAAATGTCGACTCTATCCCAGAAAATGAAAAAATAATTTACAATTCTTATTAATTTTCGCATTAGCCGATAGTGTATATAACCGTTAACTGTTTTAAATAAGTATGGCGTATAACCAAAGGCGGCAATTCGTTTTCCCATTTATGGTTATGATACGGCAATGAAAGAGCTCCTTACTGCTGTTTCGCAGTAAGTAGGCACTTCTCGTCATTCGGCCGGGCATTTTTATCGCATCGACGGCATTGCTTTCGTATTAAGAAAACCTGAAATCTCACCGGTGACCCAAATGCACAGTCAGCTGTCAAGGTGCGCATAAATCGCGCATGCTTCGTGCCAAGCTTGAGCCGGTCTTCTACCACCACCACCACCACTACTACTACTACTACTACTACTACTACTCCTACTACTAAATTATATTAAACGTACAACGTGACGACCACCATGTTTTTTCGAGCTTTACGAACGATTTACCATCGACATTGACGGGATCAACGATGGCGGCAAACATATGTATATCCCCTTGGAAATAAAACTCGATACGATTCACCGATTCTTACGCAATTTCGCGATTCGTTCGAAATTTCCCTCTCTCGCCATTTTTCTCGCGTAAACACGAAATCTTATTAAATCGTAAACAAGCCGAAAATATCCGGGGCATAATGGTATTAATCGTCGCCCAATCGCGGCGGCGATGCGTTGTCTCGCGTTGCATCGCGCGGGAACTGGGCCGCTTTCGGCTTTATTTAGATACGGACGGAAATAGGAATCGTGTAGGATAGAAGCCGTACATCCTACGAGCGCGTATGTCATCGTGGCCAACGCGCAATGGAAATCGTTCCTCGGGAACGTCGAATCGGCCAAGGCCTTTTTTATCTCGATTCGCTCCGTCACTAATAACTTTTTTTCTCTCGCTCGTTTCACAATCCTTATCCGTCGTTCCTTATCCTCTTTCAAGTCAGAAAAGATCGGATGGAGGTCCGACCTTCCTTAAATTCTTCCATCTTTTCCTCCGTCGAAATGTTAACAAGTTAATAGGGAACGGTGGCTCGGTTTCGTTTTGGATCGGTTCAACGAAGAGACTCGCTGCGAAACTTCAGCTGCCTCACAATTTGTTATCGAGCTATCTCGTAACACTCTCGTCTGAATTGGTTTTCTTCCAACCGGAAACCCGACGTTTAATCGTACCCGCGCCCGGTCGGTAATCTATTTTGATTTCTTGTCGAAGCTCCCACCACGATCTCTCCACCGTCTCTCTGTCCAGACACCCGAGAACCCGTCCCCGTCTTTTATTAGAGTCAGTCAATTGGAGGCTAACGAAAGGGCCAACCGAACCGCGAGGAAAACCATCGTTCGCCCGAGCAGACCTCGCCTAAAAGTGTCCATAACGAGCGCGAGCACGAAAATCTCCGGCCCGGATTTTTCTCCGCCGTTTCTTTCCAATTTTCCCGCATCGGCGAGTAAAAAGGTGGTCTCGAAGTTTGGGTAAGTGAATCGAGAGCCGCACACCGAGCCACCGAAGACAAATAATCCGCCCTCCCCGAAAAATATCTCTCTCTCTTTTCTCGCTCCAACTTACAATAAAATTAACAAGAAGAGAGAGAGAGAGAGAGAGAATTAACCACGTTCGAATGAATAATTCGAGCGACCCCGATATACACGATACACGAAATACTCTCGTTCTCGAATTTGGAAAAGGATCGAGCAAATGTTTACGAATGACGGACGATGGAGAGGTGCAGCTGGTAGATATTCGCCGTTCCGTCCATCATTTCGGGATGCGTTCTGACCCTCGTGCGGGGAAACAAACGGTCTTTATAAGATAAAGCGTGGCGTAACGGTGACGCAACGCGAGGAACCGGCGAGCGATCGTAAAATGCCTCGACAACAACGCGTTTGTCTATTTCGAGAGCGTTGCGGTTCGCGTCTTCTGCTGCGCAAAAATCGCCTCCGCCTGACCTCCGCGACCTCCCCATCCCCCCTAGAAAGCTCGCCTCTAGCCTCCCAGAGCGAGTCGCCGCTTCTTCGAATCCTCCTCGAGAACGAGAACGAGAACGAGAACGAAACGTCGAGATCCGTCGTCAATTGGACAAAGTACAATTTTGTATGTTTCACACGGCCGTGTGTCCTTTCGCAATCTCTCCTCGCGAGGAGGGATATCGCGTTACGGACAGTGATTTATATCGTATCGAGGAACGACGCATACGATGATAAATATGTGATAAAATCGGGCGAAGTGTCCACGAAATTTCATCTTGCAACGATACGAGAGCAATAAACAGAGTTTCGGCGAAAAACTCTAAAAATACATTCCTCGCCTCTTCTTCTTTCCGTTCAAAATTTCTATCGCGTGATAAATATTTCGATGGAAGGAAAATAAAAGGAGAAAGGGAAGGGGTAGATTGGAGCACATTCGCTTTCTTAGATATCCCCGAAGCATCATGATGTATGACTATTCTCGAGTAAAATTTTTAGAATGTAAGCGCCAGAAGGTAACCGTTCCAATAGATCGAATTAGACTAGTACGAGACTGATTTCGAAAATAGCGCGCGACGCTGTTGCAACTGTTGTTGAGGATGAATGGGGCGGATTCGGGTCACTAGTGGAAAATACTTGAAGAAGAAGAGGAAGAAGAAGAAGAAGAAGCAAAACTCGGAAAAACTTTAAAAGTCCTCCTTCGAATTCGACGACTCGATAATCGACTCGATAATCCGCGTCGTTGGTCGCGATTGGTCGAAATCGACGGCAGGATGTGACGTTGTTTCCAGTTCCCATGGAAAGCAAACACCGTGTTAACACAGTTCGGTTATTCTTGGTTAATGAGTCATTATCGAAAAAAGGATGCACGCTCGTTTCCTGTAAACGGAGTGGCGCCATTTTGACGGAAATGGCCAATCTTAATCTTGATAAAATATTCGACAACTATATTGTAGTTAGCTCCAGTACACTGTTGTTCAACGATCGACTCGAGGAACGCGTTCATTTCGAATCGAAAGGTTATTTATCTCGCGAGTGGAGAACTTTGAGAAAAGAGCACGAAATCTGAGGGGGCGAGGGAGAAAGGGTTAAGAAGGTAGGTCGATGCACACACCTGGCACCAGGTGGCACGGAGGGAAAGGTCATTCTAGGAACAGGGTGTCTAATTCGGTTGGCTCGCGAAGACGGAGTTCGCAGAGGGAGTGCGAGGGAGAGATCCGGTGGCACGCTTTTCCCCGACCGTGGCACGCACGCACGTTCGATCATCGACCGAAATAACGTTGGCATTGTTCCGTTTCCCTCCAGAGGAGCCGGCTTTCGTGGCAA